TTAGAATCATGCTGTTAAGAAGTTCCGTCGAACATATTTGGGTTGATTATAGAAAGATATGTTCGAAGCGAAAAGAAGACGTTACATGTTCTGACCACTTCTGTATGGCTGACCTCTACCTTACAGTCCAAGCATTCCTGCGTTCGCCGTTTCAGCTTCAGTTTGGAAAAGACAGTAGGCTGGATCGTCTCTATTTGTCCTGGTAATAGCGGTTTCTCAGTTGATTTAACCTCCTATGAAGTCCTTTGACTGATAGAGGTTTAATCATTTGTTAGGGTGATGAATTCTATTCGTTCATCATTCGATGAAAAAGTTAAAAAGACAGCTGACAAGTGATTTGTTCTGAGCTTTCGAATTTTTTAGTGTTCCAAGTTTTTTGTTTTGGAAGACCAGGAAAGTGATGGCATATAGTTTGTAAAGTTATCATTATATAATTAAAATATGAGATTTCGTCACCTCTAGTTCTTTTACATGACAAGAGAAATAGGTTTATTTTGACCAGTTTATCGTCATACGGAAACATTAAGATTTCTGAAATCAGTTCATTTGTGATTTTATGAACCTTTCATAAGAGCATACTGCCTCATGTTTGGCAGAGGTTAGCATATTGTATGCATTGCTTGATTTTCGGATGAACTAAATCTTTATACAAATGCGACAGGTTATCAACACTGACATGACTAAATGCTCAGCGTATGGGCCTTAGCATTCGAAGAGTTTTGCCGGCTATTGCAGGGTAGTGTGCAATTGTTTTCAAGTCTTGGCTAACAATGACTCCTATGTCATTGTGTGGTTGGACAACAGGTAGCTCAATGTTGTTCACTGTATATGTATCCGTACCTTGACAGTCGATATGCAAAATAATGCACCAGAAAGTATTTATCTGCAACTGCTGAAGTTCAGACAAGTCAAATAGTTTCTTCAGGTCACTTTGAAGCCCTTATCTTTCACCTTCACGTTTTATTACTCTATATGTTGATACACTCATCATATAGCAAAACTGATGGTGAAAGGGCACGAAAAAAGTCATTTACATAGAGGGGTAACACCACTGTTTGTTATTTATGTCCATAACTAACCAATCAAAACGTTGTTTATGCACCTACCACGTCAACGTTGTCTGATATGTTCCTAGACTGTCCTTGTTGCTTGTGACCTTCCATTAGAAGGACATCGTTATACTACTATATTATTGTGACTCATGATTTTTATTCACTTCAATAAGACACGCAATACTGGCCGGCATGTTTATGCATTCCACTTAACGACCATAATTCATTTGATTATTGAACTAGTCGAAATGTTTTTACGTCTAGAAACAGATATAATTCGAAAACAAGCCGTTTTTGTTCTGACTATAGCTTTCACATAGACTGATATCGTTAGTACCGCATTTACAGTTCTAGTACAATATCTGTAGGATATATTTAATCATACCAAGTACCAGCTACACGTTCGTTTGTGCTCTTTGTTGACGTACAATTGGGAACTCCTTCATCCGTATAAATAAGTTGCCTCCAACCCCGACACCTCTTAACTCAGATAGCAGTCAGTTGTGAGGATCTTTGTCAAAACTCTTAGTGAAGTCAATATAGGCTACATCTGCAAGTAAATTTTAGTATTTAAGAAATCAACAACTTTCACTGACTACTAGTAACTTAGTGAGACGTGAATAATTTGATATAGGGCCATGCTACCTTTCATGAAAGACATGGATTTCGTCTATATTCTTAGCCAACTCCTTCCAAATAAACGTTTTTAAACTTTTAAAAACCGTTTTGATTAGCTTACAGATTGACTGTTTTCGGGTTTATGTCTTGTTCCTGTTTTGAAGACTGAACTTACTGAGGCGTTCTTCAGTCCTTTGGTAATCCACCTTTGGTTGCAGACAGACCAAGGCATGCAACTAACGGATTTGCAATAAATTTTTCTCGTTGATTTACCATTCTCCAACCGAACTGTCTGAAACAGTGAAACCCAATATAGCTATTGTTCCAGTCATAGGTACCATGACGCACTGTCATATGGTTAGGATTAAATCAGAAACAAGCCGATCGATGAGATGCCAATATGTGGTGGTCCAATTTTAGTCTGTATATACATTATGCTTGTAGATCACTAACGTATATGATCCATGACGAATGGTTGTGGACCTACACGAGTTAGACGGTACTGGTTTTATCAACCAGCTAACGTCAAAGTCATGCCTTGCGGTTAGGACCAAACATGGATTAGCCTTTCGTTGTATACAGGTATTATGACTGTTTTGATGACCACACAACACAAACGGCGTTGTTACAGAAATATCGTAGTAAGAGTAGCTACAAGGAAAAGGCTGGGACCATCACCGCATAGGCCAGTTCGCGACGTTCCCCTGAACTTGAAGAGAGTAGATGAACCGCTTGACATTTATTTAGCCGACTGCTGGATGATTTGGGTATGGCCCATTGACACTTCACTGGCCCTACATACTTTTGGAGTGTAATGAGCTGTGTATATGAGGATATCTGGAATAAGGGGTGTGAGAAAGAATATGTCTATAACTCGCCTGGTACATAGAACTCACTTATGGATGATGGTGAAGATGATCGACAAAAATTAACAAAGAAAAACAGGACAGAGGTTAGGAAAATCTGTTAGTCGAAACCCGAAGTTATGGTAGAGTTTCAATTGCTTCGCGCAGAAAACATCGCTGATTCGAAATAAAATTCACACCAACATATGGAACATTACACTAACTGCGGCATTTTAGCACATTGAGACATTAAATTACACAGCTACACAAAAGAAATAGCTGAAAGAAGCACAGAACGAAGAAAGCCGACCGCCATTGCTTACGAAGATGGCGGATGTAATAGTTCCCGCCTCATTCTGATTGGTTGCTAAGCTGAAGGGCACATTTATGAAATTGAGTTGCGTTTAATTGCAGCCTTCGCGCAGACCACATGACCACGTTCTACTACCATATTCTGTTGTGATATCTTTATAGAGCCTAAAATCATGGCGATCATTTAGGGTACCATGGATTACTTTCCTTGTCAATAAGTATACGCAACGTTTATTGTTACAAATACTTGTCCCAACCACGCCGAGATACCAGCCATAAAATCTGCATATGTAACTGGGGAAACTGTTCACCCATTGATAACTAACTTCAAACTTTTAAGATACCGGGCCCTGACGGGTTACATCCACGGCTGCTGTCATCTCTCGCGACACCCTTAAACATGTCCCTTTCACTCTCCCAACTACCTAGAGATTGGAAAGACACTACATTCAGTCCTATATTTAAGGATGGTCAGAGACAGGTCGTACCTAACTACCCACCTGTCAGTCTAACCAGCATGGTCGTTAAGTTACTGGAAAAAATGATTCGGGTTAAGTTGTTAAGTCAAACAGATTCACACAATCTGTTAGCTCCTGAGCAACATGGGTTTCGTAACAAGCGTTCATGCTTAACTTACTTATTGCGAGAGGGGATTGAACTGCAGCCTTAAATAATGGTCTGTCTGTCTTTGTGATATTCATAGATTTTAGCAAAGCATTTGACAAGGTTTCACACTTAGGTCTTATGCAGAAGCTCCCAAACTTCGGAATAATAGGTTCTGTTCAGGAGTGGATAGGAAACTTCTTGTGTGACCGCATACAGAGAGTGAGGGTCAATGGAGCGTTATCCGACTGGAATCCGGTCAAAAGTGGTGTACCACAAGGCACCACCTCAGGCCCTCTGCTCTCCCTTCTCTACGTTAACGAGTTACCACTGTTGCTCAGGTCATTGTTATTATTGTTCGCAAATAAAGGATACCAACTCACTTGAGCGTTTCCAGAGTGTGGGAAAAAAATTAGTGAAGGGTCTTTCTAAAATCCCTTATGATGAACGTTTAAAACGCCTAAACCTTTTCCCATTGTTGTATCGTAGGACACGAGGTGACATTATACTGGCATTTCGTATCTTTAATTATGATTTGGGTGCTAATATGTCTTATCTTTTCGCTCCCTCCAGCACTAATAATCAAGAAGGTTCGCAAACTGCAATCTAACAAACTTAATGTGGGGTCCCGTTTTTCTCATCGAGTAGCCAGTGACTGGTACACCTTACTCAAACAAGTGGTATTAGCCCCATCAGTGAATATTTTGAAAGAAAAGCGGGACCCTCACTGGGAGGCAATTTGTCAGGATTAACATAGGTTCACCAACCTACCAGTTACAACTTAGGAAACTCCTCTCTAGTAGTATCCCAAGTCGAAAAAGATTTAGGAGTCCTGGTGCCCCATGACTTAAAGTCTTACGCTAACTGTGACAAAAATGCCTTCCGAGCAAACCTTGCACTGGTAACGTTGAGGCGCATTTTTGGTCAGTTTGACGGAAGAACTTTCCACACAATCTTCAATAGTTTCATCCGTCCCCATTTAGAGTACGGAAACATAGTACTCCCCCCTCACTCCAAAAGGATAAGGTCACTTTGGAGCGTATCCAACGGCGAGCCACGAAATCAGTTCGAGGACTCAAATCTAAGCCTTACGAAGAACGCCTCCGTTCACTAGACCTTTACCCACTAGAATATAGGCGTCTTAGAGGTGATTTATTAATGGCTTATAGTATTCTTAACACTTCTGGACATCCTCTTAAACACCTACTTAAGCTTAGTTCGAACAATAACCTAAGGGGTAACACCCAGAAACTGGAAACACAACATAGCAAGACGGAATGTAGACACAACTTCTACTCCTTAAGAGTTGTCAAAAGCTGGAATTCGCTGCCGGCCGAGCTAGTCCAAGCGACTTCTCAGGAGTCCTTCAAGAGGCAACTTGACCTATTCTTAAGGACCAAGGACAGCATCGCACTATGATTTACCAATTTCTTTTCCTCTTTTATTGTTAACATACCTAGGTTCCTGCCTGGAGGATTTGGTGATCCTCTGCTACTAGACACGGAAGCCTGTTAAGCGAAAGCTTCTTCTATTCCGTCCACAACCATTTGAACCATTTGAACCATTATTACTGAAGACTGAAGACTGTCAGCGCAAATTTTGTTGCTTACGGTACATCCAGTATTTCTGTATCTTTGTGCAAACTAGTCGAAACCATATCTGTTTTTTTTAATTTGGCGTTACTTGTATAAAATGTTGTATCCAAAATAAAACTAAAATTTTTCTGGTTGAAATCGTAATTTTTATATATCATTCAATAGCACTCATCTTTCCAGGAGTATGTGACTGTTTATATGTACCTTGTTGGCAGCATTTTCTCGCCTGACCAATAAGTTCAGATATCTAAAAGCTTAGAATTCCATGGAAAAATTATGTATGATTGTCGTTCACATATAATAAGTTGGAAAACCTGTTTTTCTTATGAGATTTCTTACTAGCAATAATTATTCTGGTATAGGTGGGAAATTGGAGACATCTAGCAACGTTTGGTTGTTAGTTTAGGTTTTTCAGATACTTTTTGTGTACATACACGGACTTCTAAACAGGACTAAGCCAGTCACTGTAAAGTTAAACCAGTGAACAAAAACTTTAGTTCATGCGTGACAATATAACACATCAAGTCAAAAAACTCCCAAGTAATGTTTTCGCGTTTTTTCACCGCATCTCCACGAAGCCTATGCTGATGCAACAATTTAAAGATATGCTGCTTATAATGGCTGGGATAACTAAGAACAGGAGTCATGGAATCTTTAATTGATCCTGTACCGTAACATTAGATAGACAGTTAAAATAATATCAATATAATATCTTATTTTCATGTCGTTCGTTTTAGAGACTTCATGGTCAACGATTTTTAAAATGAGGACATAACGATCGTAAATCGCGTTGCTATATAGTGTGTCATGGCACGAAGTTTTTGGCGCAGTTCAAACTAGTAAGTCTTGCTATTCTCTGTTAGCTCATCAGACTTAACTCCTTTATTATTGAGTAATTAGCACATTACCGCTTATTTTCTGTGTTTGACTTATTACATACGTCAAATCAGTATATCCTACGGCCTGACAACACTATCTTTAACAGATATTTCTAGATGATATAAGCTGCATTTAATGGAGATGCAAATAAGGATACTATGAGAATGTCCATTAAAATTTTGTAAGTTGCAATATGTTACTCGATCGTCTAATTGGATGATATAGCAGTGGTTGGTGATCAGAGTGAAACTAAACAACTCATACTTCATCGTTTGAATGGAAGCTACTTTTTTATATACTTCAACAGTTCTCATTCGATAAATTCACATTGGATTAAGGGAGAATGCAAACAAAAGCCCTTACACATTGCTTACTTTCAACAACCACGTCTCCTAGCTGTACATTGTAAAATAGGTTATATAGAGAAGTTACCTACTTACAGGAAAAGTAGTTTGTATTCATATGTGGCTACACTTTTGTTTCATAGTATCTCCCCTATTCATACTCATTCTTTAATTTACAGTTTAGAGTGGTTATTGGATCGTCAAGATGTAATGATACATAGAGCGAATGATTTAAAAATTCTTGGTAGCGAAGAAGAATATCAGAAAGTAATGCTTTTCTTTACTGATGGTATGTTATGCTTTAAACCTCATAAATTTCTGGCACCGTTATTACCACTTTCATTTTCATTTAAAAATTGTCTTTCCATCTTTATAGTCATTCAAGCATTTGGCAAAAGCGTTGAAGTCCGTCAACAAGTAATTGCGACCGCTTTAGTATATTTCAAAAGATTTTACAGTCGGTAGGTTGCATATGAGAGGATATTATCTGTAACAATAAAGCAATTCATTTAAGACTATCGACCCATGGTTAATGGCTCCATCGTGTCTGTTTTTAGCATCTAAAGTTGAGGTTGGTTTACTTATTCTAAAAAAATTATGTCGAACAAATCTTTACCGATTTTAGGAATTTGGTGTAGTTTCTCAAAAAAATCTAATGACATCATGTCGTAATGTGGGTAAGTTCTGCTTTTTAAAACTTAATTCGGTCAATCCTAGTTCATAGTCATTATTTAATCTATTTTCCTGATGGTTACGGTTATCCATATCGTGCTCAAGATGTATTGGAATGTGAATTTATTTTACTTGAAGCAATGGTGAGAAGATTGTTGTTTTGGTTAATTTGTGATATTAAGAAAATGGGGGTGATGTCATTTTATTGTCAAAAATAATTCGTGGAAAAATATTGGTCATGAGGGTTGGAAAGTTGGGACTATTTTTATATTCACATCCTACCAATAATAAAATAAATTAAGTACGACCATAACAGAAAGATTATCCTTGGTTCTATTAATCGTGGCTTGATATATAGTCATGAGCTGTGTAAAGCTTTGGCTGATAGGGTACAGTAGTCCTGGAAGTGGTAGATGGTATTTATGAAGCCATTGAACTTTTCTTTGAGTCTTTGAGGGAGATGATTATAAGCACTAAATCTTGGTGTAAGCTTTATGCCCACTTGCATTCCACATCAAGCAGTAATACATTTTGTGTTTTAGTCATAATGGAATTCTGAAGAAATTCTCTAAATATTTTATTTTCAGGATTGTTCATTAGTCGTCTTTCATCCTTATCGTCCGTTGGTACAGTTTTGTGATGAACTTCGCCCTCAAATGCATGAGTATGCTGACGTACTGTTAGAGCGTGCTTGGTAAGTCGTTTCCTGTAAACCTTCGTACAGAACATTTTAAGTTATTAAACAAACACACCGAAGGTCTATATGCTATTTGTCTCAACCAAAAACTTTATGTATTTCTTGCAAATTATGGCTGTATGTTGTGGTCAGTGTTGCTTGTGGAGTACTAATCTGGACACTTCGGGTTCATACAATTTAGTCTCAGTTTAGAATCCAAGTGATCGTATAGTATTTTTTGAGAAAATGCACGATAATGTCTGCAGCTCATCAAATCAGTAGTAATAATTTTATCTTATATGCGAGTATCGGTAATTGAGGATTTTCATTATCGAAATTGTCCTCGTTTGCTGATTATCAGTTCAACTATCTTATTTCCACTTAGTTACTTTGATCACTGAAGAAGTCGAAAATCCACATTCTATATCCCAACAATAGTTAATCATCATTGGATATCAGCACTCTACTAATTCAGGAGATTGCACAAAATTGTCACAACGCACCAACTCAGTTGTTTATAAGTAACATAACCACCTGGTACACATGTAGATCAGCCTAATCTGTTCATACGATAAGCTACTATTCACAAATCCAGCTTCAATACAGTGAATGCGACTATTGCTATCATCATCTTCACTGCCTCACTAACTAGAATAAGAAGTCGAGTTGTTGTTTAGAAGCTTGTTGATCCAAGACCCAGTAAAACCCAAAATACATTTATGATATCAGATGGGTTTTGTGGAGATTGTATTAATTTCAGTGGTTAAGATCATGAGTCAGTTGAAGCTAGACCACCCTGGAAAACCTGGAAGCACTGGACGGCCGTCCATGACTCATGATCTTAACCACTGAAACTACATTTATGATAATTAGTAATCTATCGATTATGATTATCACAGTTTACGATTCGAATAATTGTCAATGAACACAAATCAGTAAGGAACGTATTGAAAGTCTATAAACGGAATTTACACTTAATTATTTAATGTAACAAGAATTCATCTTAAATCGATATTGATTTTCCTTCTATGTTGTATTTAAGGATTCCATACCCCCAACATGGCTGAAGTTACCATACCACATCAGTACAGCAAGATAAAATAGTAGCAGTAGTACCAGTGATAATAAGAAAGATCTGACATCGAGGATATAATCCGAGAAAAAAAGAGAAAATGCAAGGAAATAATAGGTACCATCTTTACATAACGTATCCTCCATACAGTCATTCTTTGTTCTTAATGCTCATTATCATACATTCCTGTCTTTACTGTTTGATGCGTATGGCTAAATCAACTGTAAAAGGGAAAATAACCAATAACACTGATCTTCAAAATAAGAGGAGCTTCGAAAAACTCAAAGCGATTGTCGAAAACTGTTTACACACTTTGGTACAAGACTTGCAGTCATCATACCTTTATTGAGTTAACCGTTCCATTTATTCATAATTATGATTCCATAGTCTGTACATATGATTCCACACTGCTTTGTCAAATTTGGGATCGCATTACATGTTTCGGAAACTCATATTTATTAATGAATTATTTCACTTTTACCACTACTCTTAAGATATTTCTTACTATCTTAGGATCTTTTGGAACCTTAGGACTATTGGGTAACTGGATTTTTCTAATTCGTACATCTTAGTTGAACTCACAAATCAATCAATTAATTGTATACTTTTTTAAATATGCTGCAAATGATTACAATATATTTTCGATCATCTTTTTTGTCTATATATGTAAAGGTGGCTAGTAAATGATAGTTTTCGAACAGACGTGTGCCTGCATTATCCTCCCTATATAATTGCTCTGGGTATGTTCTTTTTTTACCATATGTATTATTAAGTCCTTACTTCTCTTAGATTCTAATGAGCTGTATGTAAAATCCGACTGGCTACTTTATTTCATTTCATTTAAAATATTAAAGTTTCTGAACAACTGGCCATTACAGTAATCATTACTAATCGAGTGAGTGCCCGAGCCTTTAACTACAAGATCTCATCCCCAAGGTAGTGGATTAGCACCAAGTGATGCGATCTCTCGATAGCCAATGACCAGAGTAGATTCATACTCCATTTGTTCTTTCAGGACCTTGGAGCCTGTATGTATTAGTGAGTTTCGCAACCCCCTAGATAGGTCTCTCAAATCCATCAACTCGGTTTAATTTACTAATGCCCACTTTTTCTCCTCATTATGGTAAGGATACCTTCATCATGAGACACTAATGATTAAAGGTTTCATGAAAGAGTCTATAGACACAAGACCCTATGAAAGCACTTCGAAAACTAAGACAAACTACTCACTTTCAACTGTAACATTGCATTGTAAAGCATTCCTTTGCGTAACAAATTAGTTTTTTGTGACAGTTATGTAGGATCTTTTATGTCAAAATTTATCTTATAATTCATTCATGCCACGTTTTTAACATTTCATTGTATGCTATGAGTTTGTATACTAATGATAACACACTGCTTGTTAAATATTTTTTTAAATTCTGTTGTGTATGTAATCTGTAATATAAAGAACTGTAAAATTATTCTTATAAGACTTATGCGTCCTCTCTAATAATCACTATTTCACGTTTTTATCAATTTTATCTGGAACAACCTAGAAGTCACATTCTTTCTGGAAGTATTAACTTACGTTTATTTTTATTTTCTAATAATTCCTGTCAACCCAACCATGCCCATAAACTATTATGCACTCGATACTAATTTTCAGAATATATTATTATTCAAAACAAAACACAGGTTGTCTACAACTGGCTGTTGTGATTATTTCAAGTAATCCTGACCTATTAATCGGCTCCGTCAATATCAGTTCATCATCATTTATGAATTCCAGTCTATCTATTTCATCGAATAAACATGGTTATTTTGGGCATCAAACCCAATCAACTGTCAATCCTTCATTAGTTGCTGATCGTTGGTTCAGTGAATTAAATGTGGATATGGAAAGAGTGAGCATAAACTTATTTTTGTTTATTTGAATGATTGTGTGCTGTTGTTTCTTTGCAATAAGTAAATATTTTTGGTAGATGGATTTTGTTTCTAAGGTAAGAGGGATTTTATCATCGGCTCAACATTACGTGGGGTCTTGTTGACCTTTCTAATTATGAATCCTTTTATTTTATCCAGTGTGCTCGCTTGTTATTCAAGACAGAGAGATAGTTTAATACATCGCAGAAGTACCTTATGCTGGATAATTTGTATTTATTTTGTTGACCATTCTATTAACAGCATCTGCAGACGAATCAGAACTGACAACACTTTAGAGTGGAACCAGAAAAATGCCGTGCCACAAAGGCACCACAACGTGTTTAATGAAGAATTGGGAGAATGTACGAAGGCCAAAGCAATGTTAACCCTAAAACCTGCAGCTACTTTCGTCTTTTGACCCAAAAGACCTGTACCTTATGCTGCTCTTCCAATAGTTGAACAAGAACTACAAGGACTTCAGGAAATGGGTGTTATCGATTTTGTGAACCTCTCAAACTGGGCTGCACCAATAGTGGTTGTCAAGATGTCGAATGGAAGCGTCCGTCTATGTGCAGACTACTCTACCGAATTAAATGAAGCTCTAGAGTCTCACCAGTATCCGTTACCCTTACCAGAAGGTCTTTTCGCCAAGCTGAACGTTGGCAGATATTTTCGGAAATCGGGAACAAGAACTACAAGGACTTCAGGAAATGGGTGTTATCGATTTTGTGAACCTCTCAAACTGGGCTGCACCAATAGTGGTTGTCAAGATGTCGAATGGAAGCGTCCGTCTATGTGCAGACTACTCTACCGAATTAAATGAAGCTCTAGAGTCTCACCAGTATCCGTTACCCTTACCAGAAGGTCTTTTCGCCAAGCTGAACGTTGGCAGATATTTTGGGAAATCGGACTTATCAAACGCGTATCTACAAATCCCGGTATCTGATGAAAAAAAGATCTGACAATCAACACACACAAAGGTCTGTTCCGGTATAACCGACTACCTTTTGGGGTGAAGACGGCTCCCTCTATTTTCCAACAAATTATGGATACTGTGTTACAAGGTATTCCAGGGGCAGCAGCTTATTTAGACGATATCACAATTATGGCAGCATACAAAATGGACCTGCAGAAGAAACTGGACCAGGTATTAGAACGCATAGCCGATTATGGTTTTCACCTCCGAGAGGAAAAGTGTGACTTCTATATGCAGCAAGTATCGTACCTTGAGTTCATAATAGATAAAGGTGGGAGACGACCAGATCCAGAGAACATTGAAGCTGTGAGAACAATGCCTAGACCTAGCGACATTCCTACCCTATGATCGTCCTTGGGACTGGTCAGCCATTATGGTACCTTCCTCCCCAAACTCCATCTTCTACGTGCTCCACTAAACCACCTACTACAAAAGAGTACAAGATGGAATTGGTCTGCGGACTGTCAAGCATCTTTCGAGAAAATCAAGCAACTCCTAACTTCCAATCTCTTATTGACGCATTATGATCCTTCGCTACCAATAGTCGTTGCCTCAGATGCTTCTAACCACGGTGTGTGCGCAGTTATCACTCACATTTTTCCTAATGGGTCTGAAAAAGCTATCTCCCACGCTGCCAGATCTTTGACAACGACCGAAAGGAACTATAGTCAAATTGAGAAAGAAGCCCTATCAATTATCTTTGCAGTGAAAAAGTTCCACAAGATGATGTATGGTCGAAATTTTACCCTGATAACAGACCATAAGCCACTACTTGCAGTTTTGGGTTCAAAGAAAGGAATTCCTGTTCATACAGCTAACCGACTTCAACGATGGGCAACCGCACTTCTGGGTTACGATTTCAAGATCATTTATCAGTCTACTACCGCCTTCGGGCAAGCTGACGCATTGTCAAGATTAATAGGCTCCCAATCAAAAATCCCAGAGGAGGCTTGTAGCAAATATAAAAACTGAGAAAGAAGTTCATCGCGTATTGGATGACGCAATCAATGGACTCCCAGTAACCTTTGAAAATATCAAGAAGATCACTGAATGTGATAAGACATTGAGCACAGTCAAATGCTATCTCTCGATCAAATGGCCAAACAATCGCCTCGACGGAAAACTTTTGCAATATTTTCGTCGACGGGACTCACTAATGGTTATCGACTCATGTATTATGTCCGGTGATCGAACTGTTGTTCCGAAGTTATTACGTCACAGTGTTCTCAAGCAGTTTCACAGTGGCCATCCTGGAATCAATAAAATGAAATCGTTGGCTCGTAGTTATGCTTATTGGTCGTCAATGGACAAAGATATCGAGAATAAATGCCGTAACTGTCCATCATGCATTCAAGCTGTTAAAAATCCTTTGAAATGCGAACCTCAGTATTGACCATCGCCTGCAGGACCCTGGGTAAGACTTCACGCAGATTTTGCTGGTCCAATCTAAGGAAAAATGTTTCTAATTATTGTGGATGCATTTACTAAGTGGCCAGAAGTATATACCATGCTTAATTGTACGACATCAGAAACAGTTCACAAGTTGTCTACCCTATTTAGCTGCTACGGAGTTCCAGAGACCTTAGTAACTGATAATGGCTCGCGATTCATCGCAGAATCGTTTAAGTATTTCTGCAGCGCAAATGAAATAACTCATCTTTGTTCTCCGCCCTATCATCCGCAATCGAACTGACAAGAAGAACGTTTTGTGGACACTTTTAAACGAAGCTCTTCCAACTCATCCGAGCCACTGGCAGCAAGAAGTCTGGTGTGAGTGAAACAATCTGCGAGGATGATGGGATGCCAATCACTAACATCCATCGACGTCTTGGACGATGGGCAGAATTTTTCGAAGGGCAGTTCAACTGGCCTGCTGCTCCGGCAACATCGGTCAGACTGTCCTGCCCTCCATGGCCGGTGACGACTGATCCACCAAATGAGGAGGAAGTCCGCAAGGAACTCCAACTCTTGAAGCGTTACAAATCACCTGGCCCAGATGACTTACCTCCGGCTCTTTTTAAAGATGGTGGTGACTTTTTGACTAAGGAATTGACGACGTTGTTTACAAAGGTTTGGGAACTAGAGAGTGTACCAACGTCATGGAATGAGTCGATAGTTGTCCCTATCTTTAAAAAGGGTTCACGTCGTTCCTGTAACAACTATCGGGGGATAAGTCTACTTCCGATTGCGTCCAAGCTATTGGCTTCCGTCATACTTCGTAGGTTGTTCAAAACCCGAGAAAGATTGACTCGCGAGGAGCAGGCTGGGTTTCGTTCTGGTCGAGGATGTATTGATCATATCTTCACCCTCCGCCAAATGTTAGAACACCGCCATACTTATCAAAGGCCAACAATCGTAGTGTTTCTTGACATCAGGGCTGCCTTCGATTCGTTGGACAGGACTGTTCTCTGGGATTGTCTATTGAAGAAGGGTGTGCCTGAGAAGTTTATTAACATCCTAAAAGCCCTATATAAAACACCTCAGGCAGAGTGAGGGCATACAACCACCTCTCTCCATTGTTCCATTCGAGCAGTGGGGTTAGGCAGGGTTGCCCAATCTCACCATTCCTCTTCAACTTTGCCATCGATGACATTCTGGAAACAGCTCTGATGAATGTAAGTAATGGTGGTGTGGATCTGTTGCCTGGAGAAAGACTTCTCGACCTTGAGTATGCGGACGATATTGTCTTACTGTGCGATAATGCCCAAGGCATGCAATCCGCACTTAATCAGTTGGCAATCAGTGTCCGTAGGTATGGTATGTGCTTTGCACCTTCGAAGTGCAAAGTACTTCTACAAGACTGGCAGGATTCCAATCCTGTACTCACCCTGGATGGTGAGCAGATAGACGTAGTCGAGAAGTTCGTGTATCTGGGTAGCTGCATAAGTGCTGGTGGGGGTGTGAGTGATGAGATCAATGCACGTATAGTGAAAGCCAGAGCGGCTTATGCCAATCTGGGCCACCTTTGGCGCCTTCGTGATGTTAGTCTGGCTGTAAAAGGTCGGATCTACAACGCGTCGGTGAGAGCAGTTTTGCTCTATGCTTGTGAAACCTGGCCTCTCCGAGTTGAGGACGTTAGACGACTCTCTGTGTTCGATCATCGCTGTCTCCGAAGGATTGCTGACATTCAGTGGCAACACCATGTCAGTAATGCAGAGGTTCGGCATCGTGTGTTCGGGCACAGAGATGATAATCAATTGGTGTCACCATCTTGAAACACCGACTTCGGTGGCTTGGACATGTTCTCCGAATGTCGTCCCAGAGAATTCCACGTCGTGCATTATTTGCCGACTCTGGGACTGGTTGGAAGAAGCGGAGAGGTGGTCAGTGCATGACATGGTGTCGTGGCATGAAAGAAAGCTGCAAAGGACTGGCTTGTGTTGGTCCTTCACGACTCCCTGGTTGGGGTCTGAGAGATGGTGCTACACAGTGGCTAGAGACGTTATCAGATATGGCTCAGAATAGAAGCCAGTGGCGATCCTGCTGTAACCTTCTTTTACTTTCTTCATAAAAAGTGGTTGTGTCTCCCTTAACTGAAATATTTGTTCTGATTGTACCTTTCCGTTCCCCCATTATGACTATGATTATCACTACACTCACTTGCACCAGTCTCTTCATTATTGTTTTTTTTGAAAAATTTATTTATTTATTTTTTTAAATTTTTTTACGTTCCTCATTTTTCTTCTTCTTAAATTCTCATTGTTTTGTGTGGCGCACATATATTTGGCGCACTCCTGTACCAATATATATGTGTTCAAATAAATAAATAAACCACTCCGAGCCCAAATGTTCCAGATGGTAAGTCTCCTGCTGAAGCCATGTTCGGAAGGCGTATTCGGACCGTTTTCAACGCCATGTTGCCATTCAATTAGTGGATGAGCACAGTCACAATCCAAAGATCCGGAGCTTTAATGTTGGCGACGAAGTTTTCATTAAATACTACCTCGGGAAAAACCGATGGGAGCCGGGAAAAGTTGTACAAAAATTGGGAAGTTTTGTACAGAGTCCGAGGAACTTTTGGAACATATATACGACATACGAATCAGACCCAGAAAAGACAAAAGAACGATGCAGACTCAAAATAACCAGCCGAATCTTCCGTTAGAGTTAATCTTAGACACATCGACTTTACATATGCCCAAGGACACTGAAAAGAAGCTTCGGTCAAGGAAGACATCGCCGGAAACCAGTTGTAAAGCCACAATTGGGTCCTAGAAAGAAATCGTATTCGGGGAGGTGTTAAGTCGGCTCCCGAGAACTACAATGGAGCCTCCAGAGGCCCTAATTGAACCGAAGAGCTTCAGCCAATCAGAGCACGAGGGAGCTTTCTGGAATATTAACGTGGTATGCTACTATTGGTCAGTAGCATAAAATGTCTTTTAGCGGATTGGCCAAAATATAGACTACCTTGATTGGTTTAATAATTTCGTATATGCATATAAATATTACTGTATGTTAGAGTAAAGCCTGATGAGGATCTAATCGAAAATAATCTTGTTCGCTTATATATGTTGCTCTAAATTTACAATATGGGAATATTTCCAATTTTAATGTTGATTTGACAAATGCTAATAATCTATAAATACCCGTGTTTTTTTGTACAAGAAGGAACTTTCGGAGTAAAGTACTTCTCGCTTAATTTGCGCCTTTTCTCGCGTGTTCAGGTCGCTGCGGAGTTCTAGCTTGCGGGTTACCAGAATAGCTTAGGAACCGAATAAAGCGTTCAAATTCGCAGGACTTATCACAATGAAAACTATAAAACATATATATGTCATCTTAATCCAACTTATTACATTAGTCAGGTGAAGTTGATTTGGTGAGCACAACTTCATATATACACTGATAACTGATCTCTCAGCAAACATGTAATGATAACCATGATTATGTGTTTAGACCGATTGGTCGGTGGTTAAAGTGCTCGACTTTCAACTACTAGGTTGAAATTCATTGCATTTCTGTCTAAATAACCACCTAGTGTCATTAGAAAAATGAGAAATCAGTTGATGAGGTAGCGAACGTTCATATGTATCAAGTATCCCCAATAACCACCTATCTGGACGCATGATGATGACTGTTGTATGAGTAGGTTTGACGAAATCTATAGGCAGTCAAGCCAAAACATGCCATCGATCCATGAAGTCATTTACTGTTGGATCGAGCCGTGTTAGTGGGTGCAGTTTACCTATTTGGGGTCCTTGTAATCATCCTAACTAGTGGTTGGAGAAGACGAATGTTGTCGCTCAAAATTGGTCGTAATGGGGCAAATCTGCTTACTCTTCGTTTTTCCTTGGTTCTTTCATTCTCGAATCACATGTAAGCGACTACTGCTGCTACTCGTCTTCATAATTTCATCCCGCTGTGCTGACATGATGTGGCAATTTGGACAGATGCACATATGTGCCATGTTCTACATTGTTTATGACTGACTATTGTCATTAGCATTTACATAAAATGCAGTTGGAAGCCAAGTGCATTTAATTACCGAATTATATATATATCGGAATAATGGTCTTGTTGTGGACCCATCATTGAAATAAATAATTGTATATTTTATCCATATTTTACAAATTCCAACCTTACAATTGTATTGTTTAGAAACTTTATTAGCATCTGAAAATTTATAAATTTCTTCCACTTGTGGTTCAAGTCATTGTTGATCAACCAAATGTGGTTCTTGGTAGACTCGGGATGTGCTTTCCGTCCTATTTAAGACCTCTACCTTCATACTCGTTGAACAAGTCAGTGGCTATCTCAATTCAGTTTCTCAGTGAACAGCCCAGTAGCGTTTGCATCAAGAGGTACTGGTTTCAAGTCTCAGTGTGAACATCAACATTCGGATACATGCAGACAAGTGCCGAATAGGATGAGACTCATGTCCTGAATCTTACTTCCATATACATACCAAATAATTGAATATTGTTAGCAACAAAACACATCATGTAATCCGCATAACGTACTCTCTATGTTTATGTACTGAATTTCCAACTAAAAAGCAGTTTTGATGGGAATGGTTTTCTTTTCGGTAATGGAGCTCATACTCGTGGTTGTGACATTGTAATATTCTACAGTCAAAAGTTAAACATAAAAAATAATGAGATTGAGATATTTTTTTAGCTTAAGATAGATTTGTTTATCATGATTAGATTCAAGCACTTGTTGGAATGTTTCTCTATTATTATTTGATATTTCTTTATGAAATTACTGGAATTATCAGCGCTCAAACTCAGCTACTAATGAATACTTCTAGTATTTGGCAAATTAAGTTAGACAATGGAAGAAGACAAACTATGCTTAATTTTGTATTATTGAGTAATAAGTAGTATATATTTTTAGAATTACTAAAACAACGCATCTGAGGTCGAATAAAATGGAAAAAATCATCTTGGCTTCTCAGTATTTTTAAATTCTACAACAGATAATAATTAGTTTGTGTTTAACTCTTATTCAAGGTCATGAGCCCGACATTAACAATCAAATCTCAACTCATACATGCACGAAAATCGGCTCAATGTGACTGGACAGGATAGCTAGTAAAAAAATAGTTAGCTTAAGATTAACCAGTAAAATTCAACAAAGGGAACAAAATCTAATTTATTATAAGTAGTATAGTTTTAGTTCAGAAATTCCACTGTCACAACTTATCGGTATTTCAGATTGATATCATGAACGGACCGATGTTGGATCACCAGTGAAAACCTGGAGACACTAGACGTCCGTTTCGTCCCAGCATGGAACTCCTCAGCGGTGCTCATTCACGATCCTGCGCGCGGGACTCAAACCCAGGACCTTCAGTCTCACGCGAAAGCTTAACCTTTAGACCACTGAGCCGACATCCAACGGTGTCATTCGCTGATACCAATCTAAGCTCAACAATCTCCACAACCCTTTACTGATAATTATCGGTATTTCTAGGTAGTCAAAATTATTAAGATTGTCAGCGTAAAAAATGACTTTTGTCCTATCAAATAATTCGGTTGTCCACTGTAAATTTTTTTCACATCTACAATTTTATTGATTTACCATGAAATCTTGATGTGGTATTCCACTCCAAAAGTTCTATTCTCCAGGTTCTCTCCGTCTTTTAAAAGCAGCTACTTTGTATTATATCGATAAATTGTGTCCCATTCAATCTGATTTTTATTGTCTATCTTCTTTCCCTCACCAAGATGATTTGATTCTATAATATTACTGTGTAATACTGTTTCATATTACTTTAGGTGTTGGAAATTTCTCGTCATCTACTTAGTTTGTATGATTTATGGCGTCGTTTTGATGAACTTGCTGAAATGCCTAACATATTATTAAAAAAACTTCCACGTCCTGTCATTCAGTCGCCACATACTTCACAAAATTACCAATCTGGCAATTCTGTCAATCCAACGGGTTGTAATAGTACTTCTGCAACTCAATCATCTAATCTATCTAGTGGGACACAACAACAAACTCATGGTGGATCAATGGTTGTTCCATCGGGTACAGGTGCTGTTGGTACAGGAAGTAGTAGTGGTGCTACGGGGACTGTTGGTAGTATACATAATATGCCGGATCACCAAACTCAACAACAACAAAGATCAATGACGTCATCTAGCCAACCACGTATGCATCCACAAGGTGGTGGGATGCAGCATATGGGAGTCAGGTAGACGGATAAGAACAAAGCGATTATGGCTGCATATCTGTATAAAACTTTGGAAGTATATGCTTATATATATTCAGTTCTATATACACAATATATATTCCCTGGTTTATTTCTGCTGAATGTATTTGTGTGGATTAACCAAAGCTTTCACGTGTTAATTTTGAACGAACATGTCGTTTTAGCAATGTAGCAGTATATCAGGTCAGCTGGAATAAATACTTTTCAGTATATGATTGTGGAGATTATTGAATTTCATTGAAAACATGATCCGGCTTAAGTTATTTTGTGTATTCACTGATCTTAACTACTTATGAGTAGTAGGTTTATCACTCGAAAAGGTTTCTTCGACTTCATCTATAGTGGTATGAGTTTTAATGAATACACAATTACGATGTCAATTTGTGATGAATAATTTATGATTTCGCTAAAAAACAAAGTCTGGCCATCATATCAAGGTTGATAAAGGTCTGCCAATGAATAAGCATTTTTTAACCAGGTTGGTATGATATTTCACTATGCATAATATAATCTGAAATTTTTTTCAAGCTTAATACTAAAGGCGATCACTTTCTGATGAATTTTTTATGTAGAGTTAAGTCTGAACAGGTATTCTTATTTTAATAGGTTATGGGAGAAATAAAACAGTAACAAATTATCACTGTAACGGTGAACCACCTAGTTAAATAAGTAAAGAATGTAGTGAAAAGGTTGAATTCATGAGTCGATCTATGCTAGAGCACTGAAAACCTGGAAGCACTAGACGGCCGTTTCGCCTTAATATGGGACTCAGCAGTGCGCAGAAACAATTCCGCACGCGGGACTCGGGCCCAGAACCATCGATCTCTCGCGAGAACGTTTAACCTCTAGACCAGCTATCCTGCCCCTAATATTTCCTACCACTTCTGTTACTGTTACTATTTATGCCTATTTGTCATTCGTCGTAATAATTGCATGGTGTGGCAACTTGAACCAATGTGCGCATATATACCATGCTCTATGTTGCCTATAACCTACTGATTGATTTAAATGAATCTAAAATGATTTGGATTGTCCTGTTGCTGATATCATTTTACTGGGATTTTATCGGTCTTCCATCTATTCTATATCATCTTGTGTCATAACGGCTATATAGAGGCAAACTGCAAAGAATCCACACATGCCAAACAAAACTAATCGAAATTTCAGTCAAGTGAATGGATATCTGGACTCAGTGGCTAAGTGAATAACGCAATGATATCTGAAGCGAATGGTACTAAGTCCGAGTTCTGTAGTGAAAATCAACTCTAGGATTCAGGTATATCCAGCTAATGAGTTCCAATTAGGACGAAACTCACATCCTGGATCCCACTGCTAGTTACGTACCATCTGTTCTATGGTAACTGGTTGATCCCTTTGTTTAGAAATTCTTGTTAGAGATCTAATCAATTTAAGGTGAAAATATGAACTATTGGATTTTTGATCTCATGTATTTAAAAAAATTGTATTTGTTGTGACGTCTGAAAGTCTTCAGTTAGATTCCATATAAAGTTGCATGTATATGTACTATTAAAGGGTTTTAATTTGGATTTAAGATAATCTTTTCAATAATATCAGTTGTAAACAAAAATCATCAAAAGGTTGTAAAACTACCTTGTGTGACTTTGTTTCTTCAATAAAATTGTGTACTTGAATTAATAGTGCTAAAAGTTTATTTACTTTTTTCATCACAACTCATTTCAATTTTATATATTTTTAATTAATTCAGTCTAGTATTTCGTTGACATCATTCACATTGTCACTACATTAGACCATATGATATAGTTTAACGAAGAACGAAGGTATATATATATATATATATATATATATATATATATATATATATATATATATATATATATATATATATATAGTTCATTGAGATCAATATATTTTTACTAATTAGAGATTAATTGGGAAAAGATGAATTTATCAAATCATTACTAAATTCGACGGCTACTCTTACTTTCTTACACCTATCACACTTCGTGAAGCAGCATAGGCCGTCTACCAGCATTCTTCGTCCAACTTTCTCCTGAACAATCCTTTCTGGTTCTTTCCGTTGCTATTCATCCTTTTCATGTCTGCTTCCGACTCCCGACGTGGTGTGTTCTTCGGCCTTCCTCTATTCCGTTCCCCTTCAGGATTCCAAGTTAGCGCTTGTATCGTCATACAGTTTGATGATTTCCTCAATGTATGTCCTATCCACTCCCATCATCTTTTCCTGATTTGCTCTTCAGCTCGAAGCTGGTTTGTTCTCTCCCACAATAGGTCGTTGCTGATGGTTTCCGGTCAACGGAGATTGAGTATCTTGTGTAGTAAATGGTTTGTAAATAATTGTGCACTTTTAATGATTGTTGTAGTAGTTCTCCACTTTTCAGCTCCATTCAGTAGAACTGTCTTAACATTCGTATTGGAGATTGTGACTTTGCAATTGGTTGACAGTTGTTTTGATTTCCATATGTTCTTCAATTGTAGAAATGCTGCTCTTGCTTTTCCGATCCTCTCCTTTACGTCTGCATCAGATCGTCCGTGTTCATCGATGATACTGAGCATGTAGTTGGACGTTTCCAGAGCTTCTCCATCAAATGTGATCGCGTTAGTGTTCTCTGTGTTGTATTTGACGATGTTGCTTTTTCGTTTGTGTATGTTGAAGCCTATTGATGTAGAGGCTGTTGCTATACTGGCTGTTCCGACCTGCATTTGTTCGTGTGTGTGCATGGGATAGACAAGACAGGCAATCTGCGAAGTCCAAATCTTCTAGTAACATCTAAGCTAACTATTGTATTCCACGCTTCCACTGAGATATGGAAGTCTTGATGATCCAATCAATCACCGTAAGAATGATAAGGGGCAAGTGTGAGCAGTCTTGTAAGACACCGGTCCTCACTTCGAATGAGTCTGTGAGTTGTCCTCCACCCACGACTTTACAGTGTAGTCCGTCGTATGAATTCCGGACAGTGTTAACGACCTTTTAGCTACACCATAGTGTTGAAGAAGTTTACATAAGGTCCTCCTATCCACACTCTCAGATGCTTTCTCATAGACAAAGAATTTGATATAGAAGAATGAACTACATTCAATCGATTGTTCAACGATGATCCGTAGGGTTGCGCTTTTGTCTGTGCACGATTAATCCTTACGAAACCTAGCCTGTTAATTTTGAGGTTGGGCGTCTACTGAATCTTCTTACGGCTCAACAACACTTGAAAAAATTTTCCGCTACTGATAGGGGCTTAGTGTCTTTTAGTTCTCCAACATGTTGAGATTTTTCTTCGGTATCTTGATGAGATATCCTTCGTTCAAGTTCGTCGGCACTTGTTCTTCCTCCCAAACCTCCTGGATAGAACATAGAATATCTTCGCAGTCACTTCTATACCTGACACTTATTGGTTCAGTCTGTTAGCTTTCAGGTAGTGCTGTTTTCCCCTTCTTTATTTATCTGACGAACATCCTAATTTCTTCGGTCGTTCACGGAGTGACACCTAAAAGGTTTGTAAGTGCTGCTTCGATGTCCGATGAGTTCAGTGGAGCTGAACTATTCAAGAGTTCCTCGAAGTGTTCTACCTATCTTTTCCTCTGTTCTTGAGTATCGTTAATTGTCTTACCCTCTTTGTCCCAGACTTTTCTCTCTCCTTTACCACATTTGCCTGCCAGTTTCTTCGTCGTGTCATATAGCTTTCTCATATTTCCTTCTCCTGAAACCTTTCCTCTGTCGTTGCTCGGTCTTCCATATATTTCTGCACTAGTGGTCTTCTCCACTTGCTTGTTTGTTTCTGTTTATATGGTCTGTGCCTTGACTTTCTCTGTTCTTTTTCGACTGTTGTTAATTGCTGTCTTCTTGTTCTTCCTCTCTTGAATCTTGTGCAGGGTTTCGATAGAGATCCATTCCTTATGATGATGCCTGTTGCAGCGTAGCACCTGATACTTTGAAGTTAGTGCTTCTTTAAGCGAAGTTGTTCGCTGCTTTGCTAACTTCTATTTAAGCAACCGGATAGTATTACTAGCTTTAAAGTGTAGCTTGAAGCCAAAAATAAATCTGTGCTCGATAATTATTTAGTACTAATAATCGTCAAATCAATATTACCATAGGAATGCTTCTTATTGTCAGTTATATTTATCCCTTAAAATATGGAAAAAAACTAGCTGTTTCCTAAGTGAAATAAGATATTTTCAAAAAATCCTATATTCCATTGTTTTTATCTAATCAATAGTTTCAATAGTTGAGATTATGAGTCAATTAAAGCTAGACCGCCATCGAAAATCTGGAAGCACTAGACGGCCGTTTCGTCGTATTGTGGGACACCTCAGCGCTCGCACGCGAAACTAATAGTTCCTGGGTTCGAATCGCGCAAGGTGGGGTCGTGGATGCGTACTGCTGATAGTCCCCCAATAAGACGAAACGACCGTCCAGTGCTTCCAGGTTTTCTATGGTGGTGTAGCTTCAATTGACTCATGATCTGAAGCATTTAAATTACTACAATCTCCACAAAACCCCTTTTGGATACTAACCAGTAGTTAGAAATATTTTTGATCAAGTATATTGACCAATCAAAATACAAAAAGATAGACGCATAGCTACTTGTCAGAATAATTATTTAACTTAGATTTGTGTTTTTTTAAAAAAAAACATAACAAACTCAATTGACACCCGTATTATATTGTTTAAATGATGATTGTTTTAAGTTAGAAAAATACCAATCAGCATCAAATAGTAAGGATATAAGATCAATAATGAGTTGGTTGTGTGATATGGATAATAATCATTTACAGATGAGTCAGTACATATCATCTATCATATTTGTCTTGTATATGTCCAATCATTTATTTAATAATGTAGTCGTACACAGAAACAGACAGTTATCTAGTTCAATATTTTTTTATTTTTCATTTTAAAGAATTTCAAAAATGTTGTCAAACAGTGTATGAGCGTATATATAGAAATGCGCAATAAACATTTCTAATGCTAGAGATGATGTCTATTGATTAAGTTATTTCTGAGAAAAACCTTAATTCAATAATTAATATCACAAATTTAGATCAATATTGTTCGGTCTAAAAAAAGAGAGAAAAGTTTACTCTCATTTAGTGTAGACATTAAACACAATATAGAATATTTCACAATGATCTTAGTTTTATAGTACGCATTGAACGACACAATGTTGTAATGTATATACTGGATTCAAACGAAAGTTTTATTTTTCTATCTATAGAAGTGAACCTTATACAGATCAATCGGTCATTAACCTTTAAGGTAAAAT